TCCCTCTGGGGGGGAGCGGCGTCGGGTTAAGGGCAGCTTCATGGCGGGGAGGGCAGGGGGGAGGTCCGCGGCGTGGTCCTGCTCCAGCCGCAGTGTGCCGGGGCCGTGGGTTTCCTAGCAGCTCACCTGCCTGTTGCTGGTGGGGAGCCACCACCCCTCAGGTGGCTCTGTGCGGTGGCCCTGTGCAGGTTGCGTGGTGGGCAAAATGTCAGTGTGGCCTTTCTCAGAGGGTAAACTAGCTGGTGGCTCAGCTGCCGTACGTTTAGCGGTTCAAATGGGCATCTTGAGTGGCCTCAGCTGGCTCTAGCTAAGAAGGACAAGACGGGGGCAGCTCTGGCATTTTTGCCGTGGGTAGTGGCATCCCTGGCTGGCAAGAGTAGTTTCAGAAGACCCCTTGTTTGTGGTGGGGCAGTGCTAGTTTGCCCTCGGCTGAAGATGCTTCAAAAGCACGTGCTCGCTAGGTGTTTTGAATCAAAGCTTATGGCTTCGTTGGGGAGAAAGCTACGGGAAATGTTTGAGTCAACGTTAGCAGTTGGCAGTTCTTGCCAAGGACTGACAATGTCCTTTGGAAATGCACAATTAATTTCTTATACAGAGTTTGTTGCTTCGTGGAACTCCTAGAAAGAAGCAGTAAACCCTTTTTTTAACAATTTGCTTTCCTTCAAGTTGCTGACTAAGGAGGAAAAGATGGCATACACAGAGAAGGCTCGTAAGTGGAATGAAAAGAAACGCTCTCAGAAGACAGTGAAAGAGGTAAATGCTGCAAAAGGAACACCCTTCGATATAGCTAAATAAGAGGGAGAGTAAGCGCTGTTGAGGTTTGGTCAGCTGTGACGTTATGGAAGATCACCTGCTCTCCATAGTCTCCAGCCTCTGGAGGTTATGGCTGCTGTAGTAGTCCATACCATTATGAAGGTTACACAGAAAATTGTTCTCGTTTGAATTGAAGGTGAAAATGCTCTATACCATTTTAAACCAGCACAGCTTTTTCCTTTGGGCTCTTTTACCAAGTAAAATGTAGTTCTCCAACAACTGAGTTTTATGTTTAACAATATTTTCCAGTGACTGATCTACAATTTTTTTTTATTTATAATACTGTAAATTGGTTTGACTTCTGGTCATAGGTTCATGTTGCTTTTGCTTTGTGGATGTCCTTAATTTAGGTGGTCCTTGTCTGACGGCCTGAAACCATATCTTATATGCAGCTGATTTGACATTCTTGAGTGGCTGTGTGGTACACTAGGTCAATGAAATGTTGCAACCTACACACAAAAAGTATAGTTACGCCTTGCCATTATTTTTAGATTGGCTTGATTATGGAGAGAATAGTAATGCTATGGTGGAGGACAAAATCCCACAATATAGAAGTAAGCAGTTACGTTAAGCTGAATGTGGTTGTGGTCAGAAATAGTGCTAAAGAGATCCCTGCTATTATTTACTGTCTTGAAAAGGTGTGTGTGTGTCCCTTTTTTTTTCCCCCTTCTGTTTGTCTCTCTCCCTCCCTCTCCCAGCAGTTCCCTGAAGCATAGTTTGCTTCAGAGTTTGAATTCTGTGAGGTGTCAGAAAACTTCTTATATTCCAGTCTTGGTTGGCAATGTAAAAACTTGTGTGTCAAAGCAAAGAGCCTGATTGAGTATATGGAGAATACTGCATTTACTTCTTCATCCCATATTGCTAGATACTGACTATGAACTACAAATTACTGATGAGGGTAACTTTTAGGACTTTAAAACACGTGATGCTAGAGAGAATGACAGCATGATCGTAGTTCTGAGTAACTAGTAAATCCGGATTAGTTAATTTAGTCAATCTAGACTAGTAGGGACATGTTAGGCAATGTTTTCTGATTTTGGGGGCCTGCCTGTATGGGGAAGAGCTGTTTAAAACGTGATCATCATTGTCTTATTTAGCAGGCTAGGGGTATGTAATTAATGGAGCTCCATTTTCATACATAATGGAGAGCTACATGAAATGACAACTAAGTCATAAATGGAGGCTTCTGCATTTCCTTCCACAAGCGATAGAATTTTAGAAAGCTGTAATCAGGGAAAGGAATAATTGCTTTACCAAAATAAAGAGCATCATCCTTATTGCCTATCAGTGGAAATAGGGAAGTGTGTATGTATGAGATTATATGTGATTTCAATTTATTAATCACATCCCTGTACACAGACAACCACAGTTATTTTGTGTAGTGAAAGGTCTCGGTTGTCTTTTGGAGGTGACTTAAGCTTATTTGGATGGTACTAATTCCTCATTTTATTTTAAATGGTTCAAACTGATAATCAACAACCTTTGGCTAAGATGGTCACCTAGAATTAGTTTACCTGGATGTGGATGTTATTCCCAATTTGGGTCTTGAATGATTGAATTCTGTAAGCCTGCCAGGTTACTCTTCCTGTCCTCTTCAAAGGTTATTGTTCACACATGGATTTGTAGTGGTTAATGGGCATATGCGCCCCTCTTACTTGCTCTGTGCCAGCGTAATCTGATGACTTCCTTGAGGGTTTATCAGCTTTTCATGAATTCCATTCCTACTCAAAGGCAACTAATGCATGTGCCAAACTTTTTCCTAAAGTTTATGGAAAAAGTTTTGAAATTTCAATTTGAAAAGTTCCTCACCTGTGACAAGAGGTTGAACCTAGCAAAATAAGTTTGTTTGGTTTTTTTTTTTTAAATTACATTTTGCAAATATAGCTGTAGTTGTTTCCAGTTGTAGTGAGTTGACCAAGGTACTAAGATACCTCTCTCTCTTTTTGTTAGAAGAGAAATCTTGCCTTCCTGGTCTGCAAGTACACAGGCACTTGTATATAAACTGCAGACTTGTTCCACCTAACCATAACTGTTAGTGGATGTCATATGTTCCTCTAATAGAAGGAGGTGAAGGACTTTATTGGGGATTAGTAGACTCTTTTGATTTTTTTTTTTAACCTTCTCATCTTTTCCAGACATGTAATCTGGCCCATCCGGTTCCTGCTTGTCCGACCACAAAGATGCCCAGTGTTACTTCTCTTCCAGATGCCTCTGCTATGTCTTGGAAGAATGATCAGGGTATAGTAATCTTAAAGCTGTTGATCCTGGTAGATAAAAGCTTGCCCTTTATAGATATTCTCAATGGTACCTATACAAAGGCTGTTTACATTTTGCTGATAGACATCTGTGTCAACTGTTTCTTTGTTTTAAAATGGTCTGCTGCTGTAAAAAGGTCTTTTGTAGTGTAGAGGGAAGTCAGTGCAAATGTGTCCTGTCCATTCTGTGTGTCGTCCTCCGGGCAAAACAATTCTGTCCTCTGTTTTTTAGCTTGATGGGAGTATAGCCACTAATAGTATCTTTACAATTATTTCAAGGTTTTTAAGAAAAAGGTAATTCTTCAACTCCTACATTTATGACTTACAAGGCCTAATCCAAGTTCAGCATAAAAGAATACTTGTACCAGTTTTAAAGGGTGAAGAGCTGTTAGATATCAATGTTCAAAATTTGTATGGTAGAGGTGTTAAATAAAACAATGACCTGGTCTCTTTGGGAGAATAAAAGAGGGGATATGTACTTTGTCAGTGCTTTTATAACATCCTGGCTTGCTTCCTTATTGAAAGAACTCTTGGAAACTGAACCTTTCTTATCTGTACCCCCTCTTTAAATGGATGTTTTGATTAGAATTGAGTAATGAGCACATCTGTAATCTTTTCCTCATGAATATTACATTATTCTGAAAAATGATAAATGGTAGTGCTTACAAGAGAAGTCAAGCAAGCAGTTAATATAAGCCGTATTTGTTGTGTGGTTAAGTTTCCACTCAAGCCTTTTACGTAACAAGTCTCTTGAACTATTTTTGTGTTGTCATGGTTATGGAGAGGCAGGAAAAAAGTGTAATACCTGTTAGCGTCCTCCCTGCCAGAGGTCATGCTCCGCTGTCACTGTGATGCAAATCTGATCAGGCTGATCATGGTGGCTTGAGCTGACACAACTGATCTTGAAACTGAATGAGAGGGATAGTGGTAAGGGATAACTGAGATGCATTTTATGATGTTGCTCCTTAATATTTCTCGGTAAAAGTCCTGTATGGTTTCTGGTAGCTATATCCATCTTTTCATAAGGAAAGCAGTTCAAACTCAGGTAGGAGAGGTATCTTTCCTGTGACCCTGCAGCTTGTAGAGTTTAAGACCCATATAAGAGAGCATCAGCATTCAAGGTTAGGACAACTGGTGTTAAATGCCATAAAGTCTGACCCACAGCAGCATTTCTGTGTAAAAACAGCTATACATCTCTCTTATTTAGTAGAATAAGTAGGATTTTTTGATGAGGGGCAGAAGTTAAGGGTAAGAATTAAATAGCTACCTTAAACTTCAATGTGAATGTTATGTGACATTCATGAAGAGAAGGATTAAGGTGTATTGTGAAATATTTTTCATAGTTGAATACTTTTTAAATTAGTAAATGATAAATTTATTTCTGAACACTTGCCTTGGCTATTCTTGCTGCTTTCTTTGGGAGCTCATTTAGCAGAGGAGAAGCAATCCTTTTAATTGTCAGACTTCTCATCTCCTCTTACACTAGAAGATTATTGCCAGCTCATTTAACTTGTGTAAGTTACTGAATTGAGGTTGTGAGGCTGTTTTGCAGTTACAGATTTTATTTTCTAACTTTATTTTCCTAAAGGATGAAGAGACCTATTATAAAAAGGTATAGTGGTTCCTGTTGGATTCCAGGCCTGTTAACATTCTTGTGGGTTTGATTTTTTTTTAATTGCTTTTATTTTTTGTTGGTTGGTTGGTTGTTTTTTGTTTTTTTTTTTCCCTGATCTCTACACACAGTAGCATTTATGGAAGGTGTACCAGGACTACCGATACTCCTGAATCTTGCACAAGTATTAGTTACCTTGTCATCTCAGATAAAGATCTGTGTGCTTTACTTGGTCATTACCCTACTTTACTCACTCATATGATAAAGCGCACCAAAGCTTTCACTGGATGAGGTGAGGCCAGGATGGCTTGCTGTAACTTCCGGTGGCTCTTCTGAAAATGTGTTGTTGTGGTTTGGTTTTTTTTTTTCTTTCAGCTGTGGTTGCAGAAATCTTCTACTTCCTGAACATTTACAGCCATGGCAAATTGCCATCCCACTGTGAACAGCGCTTCCTTCCTTGCGAGATTGGGTGTGTCAGGTACTCCCTACAGAATGGCATAATGGCTGATTTCCATCACTTCATAGATCCAGGTGAGTTCCAAGGAAGGGAGACAAGAAGTAGTTCATCTTGCTTTGGGCTGAGAGGGAGGCTTTCTAGTGTCACCGCTGCCCAGATTAGATTTCTGGTACTAAGACAGGTTTATTTCTTTGACTATAAGTGGTTGGACTTCTTAAAATATTGGAGCAGTGCTGATTGTCTCTGAAGAGATGGACTTAAGCATCAGAACTGCATGAAGCTTCAAAGAGGGTAGAATAAATCCAGGAGGACCTTCAAATGTTTGTGCTTTATATTTCATGCCAACAAATGTTTGTCTTGGTTGGACCTAAACACACACACTATACAATATGCTTTGTTTTTTAAAATGCCTATAACTGAAAATAACTTTTTCAAAAATAGTTGTGGCACTTGTACAAGGCCATAAGAGAAGATGAAGCTATTCCTTTCTGTACATGAAACAATGGTGTATAGTTGAGAGTTAAGGATCTGTCATTGTGGATGTTGGATGATGATTGTTCTTTTTCTCCCGTCTCCCCCGCTCTTCTGCAGAAGTACCACCACGTGGTTTTCGGTACCACTGCCAGGCTGCTAGTGAGTATCAATGGAGAAAAAGAATAGTATGCAAAGGTGTACAGTTTTAGACTCAGCTTATCTGATCTGTATCCAAGCGTTTTGTAAATCTACAGTTTTGCCTTCTGGGAACTTGTCAAGTTTTGAAGAAAAATGAATGACAGAGCAGCTTGTCACAGTCACCTTTTGTATGTTTCTTGTACCCACAAATGGCAGAGTGCTTCACCCGAAATGGTTTTGTCAATGGCAGAGTTGTTTGTATTTTGTCGTCTTATTTAATTCAGTGATAACTGCAGTATGTTCTTCTTAAATGGGACAACTTTGTGTGGCTTTAAATGCTTTCAAGCCCATCTGAGCAGAGTATCCTTCCCTTGATAGTCCTTGTGTATATCTTCAGCCTGAGGTGCTAATTCATAATAGGGTAACTCAAAGACACTAGTTTGTATTTAAAAGTTGTAAGTGTTTTGCAGCTTTACATATATCAACAAAGTTAAAGTATTTATACTGTTGTTGTGTCTGGCTTGGCCTGCCTTATTTCCCTTGTGACTCTTAAGAAGAGTTTATAGATTCCAGTTTGTTTCTATTAGGACGCTTCCTCCCCTTGTGTACAGAGGGAGCAAACTTGGCCTGTTTTCCTATGTCAAATACTTAGATAATGGCCCTTTAAAGGGGTGGGGGTATGTGTGTGTGTGTTTGCTCACAGCCCAGACCTGCCAGTCTTCTGCTGGGAAGCAAGGTTTTGATAGCTTAATCACAGACACTGCCTGTAGAGAAGAGGAGATGTGTGTGTTTGTGTGTATGCATATATGTATATAAAAAGATACAAAGGAGGCGGGAACTGTATCATTTAAGGAAACAGGACTTCCTATATCTGGATTTAATCTTTCATGTACTTCTTACGCAGTTGTCTTACGGGAGCTTCTTGAGTTTGTCCAGCCAGCCAGCAGTGTTCGGCCTCACTTTTACTGCAGGGTATGACCAAGGTCAAAGTAAGGTGCTCTGAACAGGTTGCCCAGAGAGGTGGTAGGTGCCCCATCCTTGGAAACATTCAAGGCCAGGCTGGATGGGGCTCCGAGTAACCTGATCTAGTTGAGATGTCCCTGCCCATGGCAGGGGGGATGGACTAGATGACCTTTAAAGGTCCCTTCCATCCCAAAGCATTCTATGATTCTATGATAAATCAAAACCTCTAGTTTCACTTCTGTTGCATGACTATGGAGATACTTCACTCTAAAACCTAATGAGTGTGCAGATGAGTGGGAAAAGACACTCTTTTCAAAAGTTTTCCAGTTCCATGCACGAAGAAACGGCCCCTAGAAGCTAACCTTTTTATAAATCAGAGACCTAATTTTCTACCTTCTTATTTTCAGCCTGTACTCTGGCTCTAGTCTACTGATGAACATTTGACTTGGTCTCTGACATTGTTTTGACTTAGATTAAGGGCTTTTAAGATTGACTTAAATTGATTGTGCTGAATAATAGTCACACAATCCTTCTTGTCTAAAGGATGTTTTTACATTTT